TACATAACAGAAATATGAGATAACTGTACCCAAGCAGATGATTTGGAACAATATTTATACTAACAACAGGCCTTACCCCACAGGCCCCTTTGCAAATCAGTGGGAACTTCATGCCACTGGTAAATACACTGTTTGATGGACTGAAGTCCATTCAAACAGACATTAGGACATTCGCATTATCAATCAAATGAGATGTGATCTCAGGCTTATTGGCTGCTGGAGAAATGAATTCTCACAGTATTTAGTTTTCTGAAATCCTGGAGTATAGTCATTATTTCACATCACATAGTATAATCAATTCCAATCATTATATCATCTGCATGCATTGTGGAGAGTTAATCATACTGGGAAGGCCCATAACAGATTCTAATTTACTAAAAATGAAAGATCCTGATGAAGTGCACCCTCTATATATATACAAAACAAAAGAGATGTTCACCAATGCAGAAGGCACACCTTAAAGGTTACATATCCCTTAGCTTTAGTGGTTAATGTTTTTTTTCTTCAGTAGTCAGAACCTTCATTTTCCAGCTCCTGTACTTTTTTATCTTAAGGTTCTCGCTCACAAATTCCCTGAGATTTGCCCTATTGCCCTGCTAGACAACACAGAGCTAAAGAAGATAGAAAACTGTATATATCCAAAGGTATATGCCCAACAAATGAATCACAACAGAAAATCTAGCTGATTTATAGGGAATACAGAAATTATAGCTTCTTGGTAATATTAATGGGGGTTACTGTGCTGGGTGGTGCATCATGGGTGGTGCAGACATTTCCCTCAGTTTGCCCTCCTCCAGGGCTGACAGCCAATGTCATCTTCTGGACTGGTGTCTTTTTTGTTGGCCTTTGAGCAGCCACTGATAAAGTAAGTCCCACGCATGTGTGCTAGAGTTATGGTATCCTAGCACTTGGTATCCTACAGATGCTGAGAGTGTGAGGAGAGTGTACACTGCATATACACCACAAGCAATTAACATGAAAACAACATTTCTAAAAAATAGGGAATGTAATTTTTTTGCCAGAAAAGACTCACAAAGCCTCTTTTACAAAGAAACTGTAGCACCTAGAAATGTTAGTTTTGCTTTAACGGAAGTTCATTTTTATGTCCTACCCATGCTAAGCATTTAGTTAAAAGCTCATAGGGTCCTCCAGTGCTCTTCACTTTATACACTCTTCTTCAAAATCTTCCCAGCTGGCCAATGCACCGACTATGCATGCACTCTTTGACCTCTATTTTATTTCAGTGGTGAAGGTGCTTTTTCTTATAGTGCTGTTGGTAAAGTGTGGTTTCTGCTATTGTATAATATGTACTAAAAATAAATGGAGCCCACAGTACCAATGCACAATGCGCACACTGTCTGCTAGAAAAGATTTTGAAGAAGAGGTTGTGTGTAGCAAAGGGGATTGCTGTCAGAAGCATCTTGTATAGCTATATAATGAAAAGGGTCAGAAATATATATATATATATAAAGGACCAGAAATATGAAAATACAAACTGGGTTGGGTAAAAGGTCATTGGAGAGAAAGAAAGTCCTGGCTGCTGAGCAGACATATAGGATTAGACACTGAAATTAAGTGACAAGTACACAAAAAAAACAATACTTTACATTCTTGTCGATTATTACACACATATTTCAAAAGACCAGTCTGTAGTTTAATACACTAAAGTTTACAGTCATATTTTCATTATCTACATTTTTCTAGCTAAATAGTGTTTTAGACTCTTCATCATTCAAAAAATATATCTCATGTATGAGAGTACCTGGTATTCCAACTCAAATTGGAACAGGTCAACAATAATAAAGTGTACCACAACACTTCTTATGTGCTGGGGGTTCTGCTTGCTCCTCTACAGCAGCCATGGAATCCCAAGGCTAATTGAGCACCTTTTATGTGCACTACGTTCCACCCCTTTTCCTACAAAGTATCATCACAGGCTAGCCTTTGATGGAGCATACATGAGAGAGTCAGAGAGAATATTACAGTAGGAACACCAGGTTATACATATGTCACTCAGTAACAGCTAATGGGGCTAGTTTACTAAAGGCAAATAGGCTGTTCACTTTGCAAGGGAATTTGCACTTTGATGGGGAAGTTCCTCTTAGCTTGGCTAATGTCGTTTAATGCCACTATGCAAAAAGTACTCAATCATGAGCAAGGGGAAAAAACAGTATTTTTGCTTGAACATGATTAGATGATGGAAGTCAGCAGAGCTTCACTTCATTCACAAAACTAAGGTGAAGCTTCCTCTTCAAGGTTCAAATTCCCTTGCAAAGTGAACAGCCTATTTGCCTTTAGTAAATCAACCTCTATAATTCTGTGTATCAAATTATCTTATGAAGTCTTTAGTGTGAATACTTATTGCCACCATTCCCTCAATATGATCTTGAATAACTAAATCCCAACTGCAGCCAAAAAAAAAATATTTTTTGTTTTGGATAGATTGGGAAAATGGAAAAATTACTGCCAGGTATAGATTTCTGTAACTGTAAAACTGCAAAATTTTTCCTCACTTTCTATATCTGTGTCTAACAAATTGGTTGTCATCGGAACAGGAAGGCATGGAAAGCAACTACAAATTTGTTTTTGCCTGCATCCCCATTAGAGAGATTATAAATCAGGAATTGGAGGGAAATCCCTCCAATGGGGACACATATGGGAATAAAGATCTGATAACGGCTCTAATGCTTTAAACCTTATCCAAAACAAAATATAAAGTTTTGCCTTTAGTTGGGCTTTAATAATGCTTGTTCCAATTTGCTTCATGTACTTTCTGCCAAAATCTAAAATTATTTCAGTCCAATTAATAGCCCAAAACAATCCTTGGACATTACAGAAATACAGTATCTCCAGGATCCCTACAATTAGTTATTTAATCATAATTCACCACTACCCTTTATTTGAACACATACATTTCAGTTGTTTACATATAGCAGGGAAACACAAGTAATTCCAACACTTGGATTCACTGCAATGGGTAACTGCTATAATCTACTTTACCCCAGCTTTTACAATTCAGCTATTGTCAGTCATGTGGCAGTGGACCTTAAAGGTGCCCATGCAGTGTTCTATGGGGTATGTCATGGTCACAGCACTTGGGTAGAACTGGTAATTCACATGGGAATTCCAGGCCACTGAACACCTCAAGATAGTAACCAGTATGCAGTTAAAGCTGCTAACAATCACACTTAAACCCAACTAAAATATCAGTGTTGGATGCAACAGACCTTAGACTATCCGTTGCTGCATAAACTTACATATATCTTATTGGAGAAATATTGAGGCTGTGTACTGTGGTTGCAAAAACAACAACATTACAATACAAGAATATGAAAATTAAAATAACATGTAGAAAATTTGACAGTAAAACAATTTGTTAAAAAATAACCCAACAATAATGATTTTCTTCACAATCTTCATATAAGGTATTCTGATAAAGCCTTCAAAACGTCCTGTTTTAGAAGTACAGTATTTACAGTTGGACATACATTTCTGCTGAATACAATATGAGGTAACTGATTTCTAATGTAATGGCAAAACGTTATCCTCATCAGCCCTCAAAGCATTCCACTTCACTCTGCAAGAGGAGCAAAACAAGCACATTCTTGTTACACAAAAGAACTGATATTTAGGCCAAATTGTGAAAAGAGCTGCATCGTCTGAACAGAGCTCACAGTCCATTTTATACAGTAAATTTAATGTTGACTAAGTGTTTATTCCCCCCCAAAAAATACTCTAGGATTAGGATACTAAAATAAAATACAACTGTTCAACAATTACATTCAAATATTACATGGAGCACTGGTGTCATCTATAAAAGAAATATGTGTCTGAATGTAAGAAAATCTATTCTACCCCCACAAAATATTACCATTTCCATATGTAAGATGAGGAAAATGTGAGTAGTTAACTTGTTGGATTGGCTTTTTTGACATTGTCCACAGACCTGGTAATAAAACAAAAGAAATGTACAATGTATTCAGGTTTACTAGTTATAATAATTTATTAATATATTCATATAATATATATCATATTTTGTATATATCATACAAAATGTATTGTAATACTAGAAGTAACTAGTTCTGCATTGATGCAACACATCTCAATAAACAGCTTTTTAAAGAAACATGCACATTTTTGTGTTGCTGTGGATTCCATTACTCTATAGTTGTGCTTATGCTCAGAATGTACCTAGTTTTCTATACTGATTGCTACTACTGTTATCTAGAGGGGATTAGTTGCCCAACATCTGCTATCTAAAATCATTAAAGTGGACCTTTACCCCTTTTTGCTAAAAATCACAGCAGCATGGAGGAGCTCTGCATGCTGATTTAAAATCCTCTTACATACATTAGTTAAACAAACTTGTTTTTAATTTACTTACATGTAGAGTTCATCTACCTTCTGGTCCAGTTCTGGCACAAATGATGTAATGTGCCCAAGTTTTGCTCCTTGGGAAGGTTACATCAGCAGAGCATTACTGGGAAATTTCATCTATAATCTAATTATATCTCAGGGAAAGGTATTTTCCCCTCCTGAGATGATGTGCATGGTCACATGTCCTAGTCACATGTGCCAGAGTTTCAGGAAGTAAAGGAAGATATATTAATCTGCCCTTAGTTAACATGACCACTGTCAGAAGACTGGGGAAGAAAAGAGAAATAAGATATGCAAAGAATACAAAGCCTGCAATTATCTTGAAGTATGTGTTTGCAGATTACAATTAGTAAACATTTCTAAAGGCGTCTTTGTTGTTATTTTAAAGATATGGGTAAAGTTGTTCTTTAAACATTTGAACAATAAGAAGTATAACTCATGCGCATCTGGTCAAAAAACGATTACAATCGAATATCATTCACAACCCTAATTCTTTGGCATTTTTTATGTTTGTTTTTTTTGAGAGTGTGCCTATATTTCAAATATACTCCCAACAATGAAATCAAACATAGAAAGTTTTAAAAAATATATACATGCATATTTCAAATGATGAGATGAATATCTTACATTTGATGCTGCCTCACAAACTCAGCGAATTGTCGGTCTTTTGCATAGAGCTCTATTATTCTTATCCGGTCCTGAATTTCCTATAGTAAAAGATATCAAGGAAGAAACTTTACTGCTGCACCGCTTTGATTACAGTGAGAATATTTGCTAATGAATAGGACAAAATACTCTTAGTCATGAGCAACTGTTCTGCAGGTAGATTTGAAATCAGCTCACATGGCATATACTAACGCTTTGCTTTGCTAAACCTACAGTTTAATCAGATTTAGAAAAACATTGTCACCTTGCCAATTCACCGCAAAAAGTAAGTGTCTTTCCAAAGGACCCCTGACCCACTGATACTTAATTTACCTACCCTCCTCTGCCTCTCCTTTCTCTGTTTCAGTGACTGTCAGCTAGTGTTCACACTATGGAAGTGGTAATGTAACTCTCCCTATCATCTGACAGGGGGTGTTGGGGCTGCTTCTGCTTCCTGCGGGCCCATCTGCTTGAGCCTAGTGATTAGCTGCAAGTTCTAAGCACTGTTATATGAGACACATGCTCCGCCATGCCTGGAAGCACCAGAAATAGTCATAGCCACCAGCTGCCAGCTGTGGCAGAGGAGTGCTGACAAGGTGAGTATAGGGGGTTGGTGGTGGGGGGGGGAGGGGGAGGTTAGCTATCCAAAGAAACCTACCTTGCCCTGAATGGGAAAGCTGACAATATCTCTTGAGTTTAACTAGTAAACTTCATTTATGGTGCAACTTTTTAAAGCAAACCAATATTTTACTTATACAGTAATAGACAATATAGCAAGTTGGCTGCAAAGAAGGCACCATTATAGCTTGTACGTAATTCCCTCACTCTTCCCCGCTGCTCTTATTTGCCTCTAAAACACACACTTTCCCATTTTAACTTTCCAAAAGTAGATGTTTATACAGGAATAGGCACACCACTTTCTTGCTCACACAACTGACAACTCTGGAAACTATGGCATCGAACATTGGGCGGCAATCAGGAGTGTCACATGTTCAACCAAGCCTGAAAGTACCAGGCGGGCTGTCCCTATAAAGAGTCAGCCTGAGGTGGCTGCCTAAGACGGCATGGGGGCATCTCATTGGGGGGTGGTGGGGGGTGAGCTACAGCGTCCCAGGTTGCTAAGAGCTCTTTGCAACCTATCACACTCTTTGTGGCTTCCTGCCCAGCTCACCGATGTCACCGGTTGCCAGGAGCTGAGCTGGATGCTCTGGCAGGCATCCTGCTGAGCTCCTAGCAGCCAGCGATGTCAGTGAGCTGGGCAGGATGCCAGGCAGAGCCCCCTTCTCCAAACACAAATCAGCACAACTGCGAGCCCCCCCCCCCCTTTCCCGGGGGAACATTCTCTTCCAGGACCCCACTCCTTGTGACAACATTGCCTCAGGCAGTGAAAACCTAAGGGACAGAGCTGGTACCAGGTATTTTTCATGGCTCTGGTAGAAGAATGATGAGTTTTGGGAAAGTGAAGAAAATAAATATGGGCTCCTTATGGTGCTTCCTATTGAGTATTTTGGTAAGCTTGTAAAATATACCTAATATCTTTTTTAACTGGAATAAAATAGTTTTATAGGTTTCTGGAGTTGTTAAGAACTCCAGAAACCTATAAAACTATTTTATTCCAGTTAAAAAAATATATTGGGTATATTTTGAAATACTGCTACAATCAGCTTTAATAACTGTCTGAGATCTGTCTTTATGTTTTCTCACCACAATCCCTTATGCAACAGGGGAAATAAATCCAAGAGTAAAAGGTTAAGCACTGTGAGCCAATCAGGGCTGTTTCTCATTGTACAATAATAGCAGGCCTAAGATGATTTCAACTGTTATTCATTGGAAGTTCTGCTTCAACAGTGATAAAGAGGCAACAACGTGATATTATTTCTTTTTAGCCTTATAATATACCTCCTTAGTGAGCTCGCTGTTTTCATAGATGTGTCGGATCTCTTCACTACTGAAGTCTGCCGAAGTCTCTGGACTTGTAGAACTGGTTGATGGAAGCTGTGGGTATCGCTTATAATAGTGACTATAACCTGTGGTGTCACTCTCATACATGGGGTTATATTTCACAGCATTTTCAATAGATGACAAGCTATCACTTGGTCTCCTGAGGATTAGACAACATGCAATCAGTTTTTTGCAAATATAAAATAAGTGCAACGGTCTTACTTATACTGGTCGTTATTTAAATGTTACTAAAAAAAAAGTATTTGGACGTGCAGCAGCTCTTAAAAGAATAAATCAGCATGTATTTGCCAAGTCTGCCATCATTTGAATTAATGCTACATTGTAATGAAAAGGGCACTTGAGGGACAGCCATGTTGATTATATAAAAGGTATGAGGGTTTTGAATGTAAGAAATAATTTATTAAATAAGCTCACCCCCCAGATTCCTCAGAATCTCCCTTTGTACTGTCAACTCGAAGTGTTCTTGCTAAGAAAAATATAATAGCTGAAGCCACAAGGAGAAACCCTGCTACAGAAGCAATGGCAATGCCAACCACGAGAGGTTCCGAGACATATTCCTCACAGTGTTCTCCTCGGTACCACCAGTTTTCTCCAACACGACATCTGAAAAGAAAGGCAACAGGTGTATTTACACTGTAAACGATACATGGATGCAATTGCTCTGATATTAAAGAAGGGAACACAAACATGGACTAAGGACTAAGTTAGAGTTCTCTACATCCTTAAATGTATTCAGTGCTGCACTCCTTCCTCTTATCATTTATGAAATTCACAAAAAATATTGTTGATGCACTACCACAAAGCTTTACTTTCCATGCACGGGAGCTTTATTGTGATCACAGTTAGAAATATTACAAATGACAGCTTTAAGAGTAGTATTGGCTAAAGATTGCCTCTTGCAGTTACTGTACAGCAAAACCTAGACTGGAAGATAGTAAAGCAAACACAAGGAGCCAATCAGGTGTGCTGCAGTACTCATGTCCTAATAAAGACATGCTGATAGAAGGAGAGAGAAGAGTAATACAGAGATGAGCCCATCAGTTTGCTTTTTTGCTTTCACTGTCTAGTCACATGTTGGAAGAAGCACAGGACCTGCAGGTTTTGCTTAAAGTGCAGCTAAAGCCAAAACCTTTTTTTTTTTTTTTCCTTTTGAATAGAGATAAATTAGAACACCTGTTAAGTTTTTGCTCCTGTCTGTGTCCCCATTAGGGAGATCCACCCACTTTATTTGTCCTCTGAGCATTATCACTAAAAGTTGTGATGATGGTCCTGTTGTGGCTATCAGACAGAAAGTGAAGAAAAATCTCTTCACTTCAGTTCTACTTTAACTTCAGCAGAGAATCAGTTCTTCTGCCCTGCAGGACAAGGCTATGTTGTGTGAATCTCAAAACTGGATGGCCAGAAATGCAAATCCTTTGGCAGGTAAAATAGCATTCATATATAGTATACATATTTTATCTGTGTATTTAGATGTGTGTCAGAAGTCCAGGTTTAAAGTTGGTGGATTTAGAAGATATAGTGGCCTAGAATTAAAATGATTGTCACAGGACTACTTGTCTACAGGACAACTAGGTATCTCTTAAATAGTATGAACATATTATATACAAAATAAGGTTTTAATGTTTTATTTCCAATGTAAGATGTTACCTGCAAATAGCTCCTTGTCCAGGAATAACATCACATTTGCCATCATTTTGACAGAAGTCTATTTCCAAATCACAAATGCTCTGACAGGGCAAGCCATCAACGCTTACATATCCTGGGTTGCAAACACATTCGCCTTCACTACTCCATTTGTTAATAAGGCATTCAGAGTATTCATTGCATGCCTGAAATTTGCACGGGTCTGCTACATCTCCTGATAATGCAAAGGATAGAAAAAAAAATTATATTCACATAGTTTAAGTGTGTCCCTAATGTTGAAAATTAACTTCACTTCTCATGGTAATAGGATAAAATTGCAAAAATAGGATTTTTTACTTGTTTTTTGGACACAGGTATTCCTGAGACAACTGGTTAATATGCAGGTATCATCAGGTGATTGAACACTGGTCAGAGCTGTAAAGACCCTCATATAACCTTCCCACTCCAGGAAATGCTCAGTTTTTAGCAAGCAGTACAGGACATAGAGGGGAGGGTCCTATACTGTACTCCAAAAAACAGATTTTACTGGTAAGTAAAATATCCTGTTTTCCTTGATTGTACAGTACAGGATACATGCAATCCAGAGACCACTGGGATGTCCAAAAGCGATAGAACAGAGGGGTGACCAATATAGCCAACAATCATCAACAGGCCCACATACAAAAAAAAAGGGGAAACCCCAACACAGGAAGCAGCTTGCAGCACCTTAAGGCCAAAGCTAGCATCAGCAGAGGCATGAACATCCATGTGGTAGAATTTAGGCAACATACAATTGTATTAAAAAGAAAGTACATCCTCTTTGAATACTATGGTTTAAGGTATCAGGACATAATAAAAAATAATCTGGTCCTTAGCAGGTCTTAAAATAATACAACCTCAGATGAACAACAACAAATTACACCGCGTCATCATTTATTTTACAAACATAAAGCCAAAATGGAGAAGTTATGTGTGAAAAACAAATTACACACTTTCTATTTCCATGGGAATTAAGAGTCTATGTAGCAGCCCGATGCTGCTAATCAAATTCCCTTGATTAACTCCTTAGTGACAGAGCTTCAGAAAATGTTTTGTTCCTTGGGATCGGAACAATTTTGCCATTTTTGCTATGTGTTTGTTTAACCACAATTTCCATCTTCCTCAATCATTGCACCTACACATGGGGTTTAAGTTGATGTGACATATGCATATAGAAATTCTTTTTTTTTTTCTAAAAAAAATACATAAAAAAACTAATTTGTCACAGTTTTGGCAATAAGGTGTATATAATTAGTGTAACTAACAGAAAGTAATTCATAATAAATTATTTTATTTGTCCTGATTTATAGGGTGTATCATATGTCTGGCATTTCAGTTTATTTTGGGAGTTATAGGTCACAAAATACAAGGAGTGAAATACAATTTTAGTGTGGAACAATTTTAGAATGTGGTATGTTTAGGTGGACATATATACATGTCCGCCTCCTGAAGTGGTTATACTAAGAACACACCTGCTGTGGCAGCCGTGTTCTTGGTATCGTGTTATACAGCTGGCAATGGCTGTTCAGATACAAGTGATCTTGTACCTTGCAACGAAGTGTGCTCCCCCCCTCCGCTGCCCGCAACCCCAGGCTCCGCTGTCACCCGTGCGGGCCTGGGACCGCCTCAGCAGGTCTCCCCTCATTGATCGGAGGGAGATCAGCATGCTTCTAGTATTACATCACTTCCAGTGTCACTGTGCATATTCTCCGGCTCCTGTAGCTAGATGAATCTGGTGAAGCAGATTGCTGCTTCATTAGCTTATTTGGGGTCCCTAGGTGATGTCCACTGATGTCTCCATAAAAAGGACCTGTCACATCCTATTTACTATTACATAGGGGGCTTTTTAGCCCCCTATGTGATAGCAATAAAATTAAGAAATTTGTAAGTCCCCCGCCCCTACGTGCACGCACATACAAATGCAAACACGAGCTGGGTGCAAAAACTAAAAATGCGCAACAAATGTTATAAATCGCCATGAACATCGGTGTGAAAGCAATAGTTCTAGGGCCCTCAGTCACTATTAACACTAAACTGATGAGCAGTAAAAGCTTTTAAAGCGTCGCCTATGGGAAATGTTGGGTATGGTAGTTTTTTGTGGTTTCACGGGCGCACACAATTTTAAGGTTTGACAAGTTTGGTATCTATTTACCCGAGATGACCCATCTTTTATATCTTACCAAAAAAATGGGTACTATATTCTGTTTCTGTGCAATACATTTTATTTTAGTATATCTTATCCTAGTTTGGTTTGATAAACATTTGCGCAAATACCGTGCAACATAATGCACCTAGCATTTTTTTATTCTACAGGGACTTTGCTTTCAGAAAATACAGTATATACTTTTTGGGGGATTTAAGCTGTTTTCTAGCCAAAAATTCAGATTTTATCATGTGCATGCAAATATTAAGAAATTGCTCTGGACAGCATGTAATTAATAGCCTCCTTGGCACTATATTTTCCATATTTTTTTTATTAAATGTATTTTTTAAGCCTTTTTTTTAAACTGCTTTGTTAAAAATTTTAAAAACTTTATTTTTAATTTTAAAATGTTATTTATTGTTTTTAAACTAGGGGGCACTAAGGGGTTATTTCTTGATACTTTGGGGGTTATTCACTAAGCTGTCGAAGGCAGCCGAGTGAATAACTGAGCTGAAGGGCTACTCACTTCGGCCCTCTACGCTGATTTCAGCCATGCATCGGCAACAATCAGCTGTACGTCGGCTAGCTGCGGCTGGCTTCTGTTCAGCGGAACATTCGGCTGAGCCGAAGTGAAGGAACCGTTCCACTCAGCCGATCCAACACCTGGCCCAACATGTTGCACCACATGCACATGCCATGCCATACCTAATGCCGGATCAAGTGTCCAAAGCTACATTACAGAATGGCCCCACATCTTCAGTCCTGTGGGGTCCAGGTACGATCCATGGGAGACCAATCTGGAAGCTGCAAGGTTGCCGCTGTGGCAAAACACAGCCAGAGAAAAGCTTGATTGAAGAATCACAGTAATAAGGTAAGTAAACTAAATATACAGGTGAAACTCGAATAATTAGAATATCGTGTAAAGTTCATTTATTTCACTAATGCAACTTAAAAGGTGAAACTAATATATGAGATAGACTCATTACATGCAAAGCAAGATAATTCAAGCCGTGATTTGTCATAATTGTGGTGATTATGGCTTACAGCTCATGAAAACCCCAAGAACCCCAAATCCACAACCTCAAAAAAGTAGATTATTACATGCAATCAATAAAACAAGGATTGTACATAGAACAATATCGGACCTCTGAAAAGTACAAGCATGCATATGTACTCAGTACTTGGTTTGGGCCCCTTTTGCAGCACTTACTGCAATTACTTTTGCACGATATTCTAATTATTCGAGTTTCACCTGTATGTTCCTCCATACAGTGGAAACATCCATCACCTAAGGGCACTAGGAAAAAAACTGAGGATTTCCGGGATGGGAGGGGTTAAATGAGGGTCCTCATAGCCCTGGTCAGTGTCCAGTCACCTGGATATTACCCAGTCATCTCTGGATTGGCTGTGTTATGTACTGTATGATCAAGAAAAAACATTTTTATTAGAGTGGGGAAGAACCTCTTTGATCTTTAAATACAATCCATTTTGTCCCTGTAACACTTGTTTTCCCTCATTTCTTGTTCTAGTGTCACAGGGACAAATGAGGGGGTATCTAACCAGTGGGGTCACAGTCAGCAACTCTTGTCCACACTATTCCAAAAAAAACAAAAAACTTTTTAGCTGAAGTTGGTATTTAAGCTGGAGCATTGTATTTGTACCTATTTAAAGTAGAACATGCAAGAACCACAAAATCATTCAGATAAACCCTAGTGAACTGATTTAAATGTTCAGTCCAACTAATGCTAATATTTCAGTTTCTGGTAGATGGTGATGGTAGAAGTTGACATTATTAGAAAAAAACTGAAAAAACTATGATTAAAGGCACTCATAACAATGAATTAACCAGCAAGAAACTAGAGGTTGGCTATGTCAGATATTTTTTTGGTAACCATTACCCCAGACCAATTTGCATTTCCTCTCCCTCCCTCTTATATAGACATAGACACGTTATTTGGGAAACGTATTGAGTGCAGTTACAGCTAATCAGTCCCTTCACATTAACTGTAACAGTACCTGATTCAACATCCAAAGAGTACTTATCAATGGCTAGGTTCATAGTCTGGTAAGCCGTGTTGCAGAAGTCCTCAAGAATAATGTATACAGCATTTGTTACATTGCGTGGAACAGGCTTTGCAAACTTCATTCTGCTGTTTACAATGATGCTGCCATTCCGAAAATTCATTATTTCAAGGTTCTGAAAACCAGTTAAGTTGGACTGCAGATAGGGAACCAGCTGAAACAAAAAATAAAGAAAAAGTAGTCTGTACAACAGGATTTTTTCAAATGTATTTCTACATTTGTGAACTGCATAGTGGCGGGAGACTAGTGTTAGCAGGAGGTTATTCAAGACTAAGTTAGCATAACTAGATTAATTTATTAAAACTGCATTCATTAGTAATAATACATAAGCTAGATTAATACAAAAACTAGATTCATCTACTAAAACCACATGCATTAGTAATAATACATAAACTAGATTAATACAAAAACTAGATTCATCTACTAAAACCACATGCATTAGTAATAATGCATAAACTAGATTAATACAAAAACTAGATTAATCTACTAAAACTTCATGCATTAGTAATAATACATAAACTAGATTAATACAAAAACTAGATTCATCTACTAAAACTGCATGCATTAGTAATAATGAAGAGTCAGCTTTCTTAATAAGCCCTACTGAGGTCTACTATATCTATACTGTACTAGAGGGAAATTTGTAAACTTTATTGAAGATTATTACCAGCTTCTAATCTAGAGACAACAAAACATCCATTTAATATTCACTGCTGAAAATGCACAGACTAAGAGACATGTGCAAGGACGACGCCATCATGTATATTTGAAAGAGAACAACATCTCTCAAGAGTCTTTTCAGGGCTGTCATGCATTCAATGGTATGTCTACTACAGACTGAATAATAATGCTGCATAATGGGTAATTGGGTAATTTTTATATATCTCATAAATATGTCCAACTAAAGCTGGTATTTTGTAAAAGGGAAGTACAGTATGTATAGGAAAAAGAAGTATAGTATGCTTTTATTTTAGTCCCATATTTTAATCCCATTCTGCTGTTACAGCTTGCATTGAAGGAATTGACAAATTAGTGTAACAAAACCTCACTGGTAACTCATATCTAGCCCAGGCAAGTAGAAGGGACATCCCCTGAGAGGTAGAAGCAGAGACACTTCACAAAGAAGAAATAAGCATTTTTGTAAGGCTTCCATTAAGCATGTCCAGTAAAGATAAAATGGAACCATGAAAAGTAACAATGAACGTATGCCTAAAAAGGCCGTGTAAAGCTTAATTAATGTCCAACTGATCACTCCTTGGAGGTCTTATACCTTGAACATTTCAAGAGAGTTCTGCAAGAAAATTCTCAATTAAAGGACCAATATGCCTGAAATAAAGACTTGAATTATGTGAAGGAGCTTTTAATAACATTTACTTTGTAAAATTTCATAAGCCTCTACAAACATGTGACTGCATAACATTAAAGTGCTATAGTTTTCTTAGTACAGGGGTATTGGATAATATTACCCTTCACTACGTACCCTTCACTTTAAATATCTTTAGTTTTATTAATCTTCTAAAATTTTAACATAATTATACATGAATGCTATTAAATACTCATTCAATAACCCGCTTTACGAATATTGAGTATTTTATACACTGCATTCTTTTTATAAATGTTTTACAAGATTTAAAAAAAATAACACAGTTTCTTAAAGTGTAAAAACTAACTCATGTAACATTTAATTTGAAGTTAAAACTTACCAGTTCTAGAAATCGTTGTTCCAATGATTTATATTCAGGTGAGTTTTTATTAAACAAATCTTCTGAAAATATCATATTAGTCACACGCAAACTAAAAAACACCACAAGTGCTCGTCTTTGTGAAGAAACATTCATGCCACTCTCATGAGTAGAGAAGACAACCCCCGACAAGTCTGTAGAGTCCATCTTCTTTGCCACCATGCTTCTCTCTTCAGGACTCATGTCTGGATGAAAATAAACTGTGCTAATGTGATCTAATTCCAGAGAAATGTCCTGTACATCCAGTGTGACCCCTTCATCTTGTACCAGTAGACTTGTTGGGCCTACAGAAGTTCCACTTGGATGTGACTCTGACTGCACTGGATCTGAGATGACTTCCTCTCTGTGAATCACAGTAACAATGTTAGGTATATTGCTTTCCCCTACAGATTCAGAGTTGCTCTCTGGATGTGCCTTTATAATATCCAAGCTAGGGATGGTATTTGACAGCTCATCCTGTGGTTTACTTGGTGGCACTGATGGAAAATACAAATAATTGTGATCATTATTATTAGCTGTAATGTCGGTTGTTGGCATCAAAACAATGTTTTTGTCAGAACTAGTTATAGGTTGATTATTATTTGCATTAGTTGTTGGGACTGAACTAAGGTTTTGGACTGGAATATATGGCTGTACTGGTTCTATTTTATTAGAAATAAAACTTTTTGTAATAATTGTATCATAGTCCACTATAATACTTGTGGATGGGGGTTCTGCTGGTTGAGCAGTGCTAGTAGTGTTTGCAGTATGTGAAAGCAAATGTTCCAATGAGTTATCAATGTGGCTGTCTACTTCAGTAACTGTATGCCCGTTTCTAACTGTAGGTTGGGGTGTTTGCATAGATGGCTTAACATTCAAGTATTCTGGAGTTGACAGAACAGGTGGAAGGTTTGTTACAGTCTCCAGCAGGACAGGCTGATTTGTAATTCCTTCTGTGGCAATTGTACTAAGAGAGATCTCAATATCTTCTAACTCCTGGCTCAAACTAGGGAGTACTTCAGTGGTAGGCAAACTGATGTATTGATCAACTGATTTATCAGTATAATTTTCTTCAATAAGATCTTCATAGCTTCTTGTTACCTCCATTAAATCTATATCTATAGATTGTCCTTTTAAGGGTGAAAGGGGTTCCATTGTTGTTTTTGTCCAAGACCATGTCACAGGATTTTCCTCTTTGGTCAAACCAACATATCCTGAGCCTGAACCTTCATCAAGGGGAATATTATTTTCAGTGATTAATTTTGTAGGCAGTAAATTATCTTCCACCAGAATTTCAGCTGTTTCCAGCTTGCTTTCAGAAGTCACTTGTGATAATAAGTTATCACTATTTGCTGAAGTTACTTGTGATAATAAATTATCACTATTTGCTGAAGTTACTTGTGATAAAAGGCTGTCACTATTTACTGAGGTTACTGGTAATGATAAGTGGTCACTATTTGCTTCAGTTACTTCTGATAATATGTTGTCACCATTTGCTTTGGTGCTTTCAAAATAACTTAGTAAACTACTTAAAGTAGGTTCACTTAATGCAGGCTCTTCTGCAGCTATTGCTGATGTCACAATGTCTGAATGGTACTCTACAGCTGAAGAAATGGTAGCAGTTGGTGGAAGATGGGTGGTGGTAATAACATTGTCTTCTTTAGGCAATGATATATCTTCAAACACAGATGGGTATGAGGTTCCAATAGTAGTATGAGTATACCAGGACATATCATTATCCCCTGATTCTTCTTGAATGTCTGAACTTTGCACAGAAGTAGCAACTAGATATATTAAAGATTCCTCTGAGCTAAGAGATGTGTTTTGCACAAAGTCTAAGGCAGTTGCTGGCGTAGTAAGCTTGTACACAGAACTTGTATAAAAATTATCTTTAAAAACAATATCATCTGTAACAACAGGGCTTTCTGCTTCCAAAGCCACCTGGGTTTTTGGAACCAGCTCATCATTGTTTTCTTCCTCTGGATAAGTGCTCCTTATAGTTGTAAATTCAGTGGGAAGCCATTCTGCTTGCAGTGCATTATTCTAAAATCACATAGATGACATATTAAATGAGTGTAAAAAACCCAAATATAATAATATATTTAACAGATAACCGGAAGTCATGACATTTGGTATCATATGAACAAATAGACATGAACACGGAAAGGTAAGAGAGGACCAGGGCCCAACATTTTATCACTCTTATCTATCTTTAAGAGGGAGAACTGTGGGAAATAAAATGGAACATTGCTCTCAACAACAGCAAATAGAAAATATGCAATTCTGCACAAATATTGGTGTACTAAAGTTGTCATTTTGCTACAAAATGCAGTTTCCTTTAAACAGTTGTACAGAACTAGCAAGTCATGGAATGCATTTTTTAAAACTGTAGTAAATTTATAGTAACATACTTACAACATCTGCTGTAGAAGGAATGGGAAAGGTTGGTTTCTCGGTGACTAATGTCCATTCTTTGTAAATGTGTGATGGAACATTTTTTACTAAAGGCATAAGAAAACAAAGCAATACAAATAAAAAAATAGTTCTGCAACACAACTGTATGTCATTAATTGTCCCACTTGGACCTAAAATTATGTGTACAAGATAATGTTAAATGCTGCTTATACTTAATCACATAATAGGATAGATTGGATAGCAAAATCGTTTATTACAATAAATAAAACAAGGGATAAAAGTACTCGCAAACAAACGTTTTCATCAGGCTTTAACAACAAATGAACGCAGTCAGCCAAGATTGACACGTTTCATGATTCTGAGGAAGGGGGCTTGCCCCTGAAACGCGTCAATCTTGGCTGACTGCGGTCGGTGGACGGTGATGTGACCGGAGACTACCGTGTTACATGGTCGGGGATATACCATGTTGGGTTAACAGACAGTGTGGCCTCTCATTTGTTGTTAAAGCCTAATGAAAACGTTTATTTGTGAGTACTTTTATCCCTTGTTTTATTTATTGTAATAAACGATTTTACACACGGAGGTGGCGCTCTGTTCCCTTTTGTTTTCTAGATTGGATAGCAGTTATCATCAGCCTTCCATTATAGTAACCATGATCCACTTTGCTCCAATAGTTCCACCCAAAACTGACAGTCAAAGGAATATAGTGTACAGCAAGGCTTCACAACCGCTGAGCACCATCCTGTTGCATTAAAAATGGTAATACTATATTGAATGAAAACATATTTCCACTGACAGACATCTTCAGAAATGGCACAAATGAAATAGCTCAGGTAGATTAAAAAGTCCTCTTCCTCAGATGGTCCAGACGATGTCATTATTGAAGGCGTCCACTTCTGTGGTGGCTCAGTAATCTAGAAACACATTTTGGAGGTGCCCCTCCACTCTCAAGCTAGTACAGCCGTGTTTGGGTATGGGCAATAAGTAGTGGTAGTGGGGGGTACATTAACTGCTCACACCAGACCAAAAGGGGAAAGAATGGGATATTGCTAATATAACAAAACATATGCAGCAGTAGAACATACAGGGGAGAGAACAAAAGATCATTAATATAGCGAGAAACATGCAGCAGTGAAACATATACAGGGAAGGGAACAGGAGATTCTATCCAGCAACAAGGACACTGCCTAGGGCCCTAGGCTATCTGTGAGAGTCCTCTGCTGCTTAAACCCCATATACTGACCGTCTACCCCACTGCTAGCCATAAAAAGGAGGAAGGACTTTTTCCATCTACTTGGGCTATTTGATATGCACCATTTCCAAGGATGTCTGTGTGATATGTTTTTATTCAATACCATTTTAAAGAGGAACTTTACCCATATCTTTAAAATAACAACAAAGGCACCGTTAGAAATGTTTAGTAATGACAATCTACAAACAGATACCTCTAGATAACTGCATGATTTTTATTTTTTGCATACCCTCTTTTTCTTTTATTTCCCAGTCTCATGACAGTGGCCATTTAAACTAAGGGCAGATTAATATATCTCCCTTTACTTCCTGGAACTCTGGCACATGTGACTAGGACATGTGACCATGCACATCAACTTAGGGGATCTCATGGGATTACAGATAAGATTTCCCATCAATGCTCTGCTGATGTAACCTTCCCAGTATGCAATCCTTGGGCACGATTACATCATTTGTGCCAAAGTGGACCAGGAAGTGGACAAAAAGAGATTGCAAGTAAAATAAAAATATGTTTGTTAAGCTAATGAACGTAAGATGATTTAATATCAGCATGCAGAGCTGCATGCTGATGGGATTTTTAGTCAAAGGGGGTAAAGGTCCATTTTAATGCAGTTTTTGGGTGCACTATTCCCCTATATACTCGCAGCAGTCTCAAATTCCACTATTGCCAACAGAATGTGATGATTGCATTCCTAGCCTCACCCTGCACAAATAGTTTCTGGCTTACAGGACAACAAATAATCCTCCAGAGGGTGTCACTGATTGAACCGCCACAAAGTCAGAAGAGATTAGGGTTGCAATGTAGGAGAGCTGACGTTTTTACGATAAATTAGTAGACTTGCACCGGCAAACAAATTGTTTCGTTTGGTTCGTTCTGATTCGGATTCTGCGTTATTTAGTTTTCAAGGATTCGGGTCAGAAAGTCAATTCGTTTTGGGACTCGGATTCGGACGAGATTCGTTAGCGGTAGTTTGTATGAATTTTCGTTTGTGGACATTTCATTGCAGAACAGTCCAAAAAACAAATTTTTCCGAAAATGAATCACATATGTCTATAAATTAGCAGACACTGCCTTATTGTCAAGTATTCAATCTATACCTATATTTCCAGATAGCACAGTCGTATTATTGAATTGAAAGAAAATAACATTTGATAAAGACCAAACACAACATAAATTGGATTTCTATATCGCCTAGAATATTAAAGGTGACCAATTCATCTTTTGATTTCTGTACATTGTAGCATAGGCATATTTGGAATCAAACTGTTGGTTATTCTCTTAAACATTTGCGTAAACACTTGTTTTTATAAAACAGTTGCTGCATACTACCTTCCTGTGCTGCTAACTGACAGGTTTGGGTGGCGTTATTGAAACAAGGTGGTTTACAGTTACTATAATTGAAGTTAGAATATATACGCGACCCAATCCATCCTATTGTGTGTGCGTAAAATTGGCTTCTTTCTATTATTCCACATATATCTAAGATTATACATGAGGTTGTTGCACCATTTTCTTCTTGTTTGTTTATGGTAACAGTGATGTGTATTAATATAATTAATATGGAATATTTTATACATTCTTACCATTGACAAGCTGGAGAGAATCCGGGTCAAAATTGAGTGTGTTTTCTCCACTATATATCTGTTTGTTCAGACTATCCAGTATAAAATTTCGAAAGCTACTGACAGTATAAACAGCTGTTGGATTATCTTCATTATCGTGTAATGAAGTGTCTTCAATTTTATTAGAATGTAGATTCATGAGGTCCAACGTTGCATGGTTTATGGCATCTGAATCACCATCAAAAATGACAGCATACTGAACTTCCATAGCAAGTCTGCAATTAACAGATTGTATAAACAGATTTCACAACAAAAGATATGACACCAGTTCTCAGAAATAATGAACTGAGGAAAACACCTTTTAAAACAGAACTAAACTCAAAGTTTAGGACTGCTTAAAACATTTTTAAAGAATTAGTGAGGATGGGTGGAGAATTCCTAAAGTTTCAAAACATCCCTGTTAGTTAAAAAAGCAGCTGTCATTGCCTTCAGCAATCCTGCATACTAGGTCACATGACTGTTGGAGTAGATATTAACAACATCAGCCTTCATTCACCTTGACTAAAGTTTTTGTTGATGTTAGCACACCTTAAACGACTGGAGGTGTTAATACAGACTTAAATTGATGCTGTACCCATAGGTGATATTTTGTATGCCGTTACTATGGGTAAAGATATAGTATGTAGGCAGGAAGAATAATGATGGGGTGCATTATAACTTTAGAGCACTAGAATTATGTCACCTGTTTTAGACCTTTCTGCCAATGGGTGAACTAGTTGTAAACTAAGTGGATTACTAGCCCAAAACACAAAATGGGATTTGTTTTATTTATAAAATCAGAAAATTAGTACCTGTCATCCAGTAGGGAAGGGCTGAAAAAAAAGTTGTATAGTAAAAATAAATTAAAAAATACAACTATATGAAAAAAAATTACAAATTTTATTTTTATTTTACAAAATTATAAATTGCAAGCATTGAGAAAAGATATACTGACAAAAAGTAATACCTTATTTTCTGTACTATTATGCCTTTATAGCCCGGCAAAGCATGATATACACTTTTCATCTGTAAAAGCAACGAAACAATTTGAGTCATTTATCATAGTATGATTCAAAATCAACCTCACTATATAGATTTCATCTGTGTTTTGGTTAATAAATAAATGAACAGGCTGACAAAGATAGACAGACAGACAGACAGACAGACAGACAGATAGATAGATAGATAGATAGATAGATAGATAGATAGATAGATAGATAGATAGATAGATAGATAGATAGATAGATAGATAGATAGATAGATAGATAGATAGATAGATAGATAGATAGATAGATAGACAGACAGACAGACAGACAGACAGACAGCCAGACAGACAGATAGATAGATAGATAGATAGATAGATAGATAGATAGATAGATAGATAGATAGATAGATAGATAGAGTTACCTCAGTAACAAACTTTCCAGTGAACTCTTTGTGCTGATCTGTGAACACATCACTTAGTTCAGGGCTGTACTGCTCATTAAGAATAAGCATATTAAATTCAACCATTTTGTACACTGGTCTGGCTGGCTTCTCTGTAATCTTGAAAATTTCATTGTCCAGCTGCTGAAGAAAGACATCAACAATTAAAAGAATGTCAGTTTGCCTCTTATTTCATTAGAGCAAACCGGGAAACACAAAACATTTAAATACCCAAGCCTGTAACTCCAAGCATACTTATTTTAAGCTTTCAGAATTCAAATCTCAACATATACTGTAAATATAGAAAGTGCAGTCTTTTACAGCCTTGTACTGTGTTAGCTATTGATTGATGCTATACGTGTGGAGTTTAAGGGATACCCTGTATCGGCTTACTGAAGTTATCAAAGTTGCAAGCTTTTGGAGACTGTTAAGTTCCTTCTTACTAAAGAAGGAAACTAACGGCCCCCTAAAGCTTGCATCTTTGATAACTTACACCTGTGAAGGTTCTCATTCATCCAGGTCATGGTATATCTGTAAAAAATAAGTCAAAGCAACAGGACTTGCTGTATTTTTCTTGAAGACGTTTCACCAGACATCCGACCAGCTTCCTCAATTCTGAATTGAGAAAGCTGGTCGGATGTCCAGTGAACCGTCTTCAAGAAAAATACAGCAAGTCCAGTTGCCTTGACTTATTTTTTACAGATATTTAATAACGTACATTAGACAATAAAGGTATCACTTAACCTCTAAACTTTTCTAAATAAAGAAACTAAATACTCATACACTCTATTACATCCACCTAGACAAGAACTTGTCTCTATTTTAACACAAACAGTACAAAAAATATTGTTTTCCAAACATCATTAGTGAAGCCTATAACACCAAATGTTTACTAAGTTACCCATTTAGCGTCAATCTTCTTTATTTAAATTTGTGTAACTAAAAAAAATGCTCCCTTTAAGCTTGTTGCAACCTCCCAAATTGTACTTGAGTTGATCATCTGAAGGTTACATGTGTAAACTTACATGAAATACAAAATACTTCTAAGTCTGTGTGAATCAGTGCAGGTCTATTCTGTATCATTTAACTTAGTGATGAATAGCTGGATCCCCAGAAGATAGTATATGTGTCTGTCTACCACAATTATACTATGTTCCTTTTATATTTATGCTGAAAAATTTAAGTAAATATATTTACTTACTTCTTCAGTCTCCTCTTGCTTCAGAAAACCAGTTGGTGAAAAATGTTCAACGGATATTGCATATGATAGTGGTACATTGGCAGCCGCATCTTCCATAACAAAATACACATGCGCAAACACATTCTTATTAAACCAAAATGATGACAATAAACCTAACCGCTTTATGTCAAATACATATTTTTTATCTAATATACTATATGCTAAAACTGTTAGGCAGCAAGTAAGGAAATCATTTTGGTATTCCATTTCCTCTTGTCCTACCTTTCTACCAGTAATAATCTTTGCTCATGCATATCTTAATAAATACAAATAATCATTTATTTAAACACAGTGTCAGATGTTTTTCCCTTTTATTAAGAGAAATCTTCTATTTTAACATGACATAACTCTACAATATACTACTACTATACTAAATGGTCTACTATAATGCTATATAAATACCTCGAAATGTAGTTGTTTCTGGTGTTGAAGTCAATGATGTTGCATCTGAACTGAAACACATGAAAAGGAACTTGTCATGATAAAATATACAAAAGGTCAAATGAAACATAAGTGCAAGTAAGTGCAATACAGTATGATAGTCTTACAGTCTTACAAAGCCGGCTCCACAGTTCAGGTGAGTATAACTTTTTTTTAGCACCTAGACCTTTGCAGTGCGGGGATAGCCCCACCACAAGGGTTAAGAAAAGCTTTGCCCAGAGTTCTTCTTTAATTACCAAAAGCATAGCACATACATATTATTTTCTTTGGGTCACTGGCTAACTTATCATAATTTATCATCATTTTTACTTGACTAAAAGGTTTTATAGTAAATATCTATAAAAATAACTAGGCCTATTTTATAACAAGAAATATTTTGAAAGATGTATGAATGTGACAAGGTTTTTCATATACCTTTGCTGCCTTAGGCTATAGCTTATGTATCCCTTACAAAAATACAAGGTTACATATTCAAAACTTATAAATACTTTCCAAACTATGATATTTTTACAAAAAGTAGTATAAAATAAGAGTATAAAAAGGTACCATTAAAATTAAAGTGAAACTGAAGCCCAAACTTTTTTTTAAATTGTAATAAGAGTAGAGGGAGAGATTAGAACACCTGTCAGGTTTTTATTGCTGTCTGTGAACCCGATAGAGAGATTGACCCTTTCTATTTATCCATTAGCACTGAAAGTGAAAGAATTTAGGTTATCTGTAGAGCAAGAATAGATAAAAAATCTTCCAATGGGGACACTAGTTCTGGTGATGCTGCTAACCACCAGGGATTTCTTCTCACTTCCTGTTGTGGCTATTGGACAGGAAGTGAGGGAAAATCTCCCCAATGGGACACAGATGGCCTAAAAAAGTTGACAAGGTATAACTCTCCCTTACTCTATCCAATACTAAAAAAAGTTTTGACTTTAGTTCTACTTTAAGTAGCTAAATCAAACTAAATTATATTGCTTTATGTCTACTATGCATTGCAATAAATGTTCTTTTGGTTTTTAAAACAGTGTTTAAAATATATAATACAAAAGAAGAAAGACCATACAACCACAGATGTCCAATATAGACTTATAAAAGAATAGATGATGATGTTGATAATAATAATACAGATATATGTATACAGTTTAGATGTACACTTTCCTAATATGGGAAAAAGAAACGAATCAAATATACTTCTTCCTCAGAAAACTGTATGAGATATGGTTTATCAATATTCAATGAATACTCTCAGCTGGGAAAACTTTTAGTGAGAAGAGTACTTTCAGAAGAGAGGACTTAAATAAAAGTCTTCAGAAATCTGAGCCAACATAGCCATGAAAGGAATATTATCTAAGCAGACTTCCTTTCCGATTTTGTGGTTATGCTAAACTAACTATATAAATCATGTTGTTGGCCTGCACCGTCTTTTACATAAAGCTAAAGAGCAAATGTTTAGAGTAATAAGGACAGTATATATTACAGAGCATATACAGCTACAGATATGTTTAGATAGAACTATGTACTCCCTTAGTATCTTCACAAAGTCGTAACTATATGTTTTATATGAATATTCATGTACATCATACTGTATATGTATACTTGTGCCATGCCTTGGTAGTAACAAAAAGGCAATCAACCTATGGGCTGGCGTGTAACACACTGACACTGTTCATAGATAATGTTCTTTCCCTGCGCATTAGGACCTGCCATCACAAGCCAATGTTAGTGCAAGCATTAGGGATGAGGTTCGGGTTCACCAATACCATACCAGGAGTTTGAGGTGAATCCTGTGGATTCAAGATTCATAGTTCTGGCAAATTTATGTGCAGATTCACTTGGGAGATCTTTGTTTAAACCATAGTGCCCTGCATGGCCTTTGAGCCATGGCCAGCGGGCTTAGAAGGGCCAATAACTGAGCTTTTGGATAAGCCAGCCCCCTCACTATATGAATCCAATAATGATCTGTGCTTTAGGATAACAAACTGCCCCGCAGATGAGCTAAAAGGTATTAACCCTTAGAAATGTATCAAGTGTATGCACTGCGCATCAACCACCTATAACATCAAGTGTGCTATGTTAAAAGGTATGAACCCTTAGAGTATGTATCAAGTGCTAAAAGGTATTAACCCTTAGAGTATGTATCAGGTGTGTTGATACACAGTGCATACACCTGATACACACTCTAAGGGTTAATAACTTTGAGCATAGTACACTTGATGTTATAGGTGGTTGATGCGCAGTGCATATCGATCCACCATTCCCATAGATAAAATAAAAGTTAGGCATTCACTGGTTAGGCCTCTTATAGCTGATTAAAGCTATCCCTGTTTATATTGCTGCATCCTCTTCAGTATCTTAAATCTATTAAATGTATTTCAGGTGCAGCATGTGCTCTTTGTCTCTAGAAGATTTGGGTAAAGTTTTGCTATTATAGTAAATTAATATAGTATTATAGATTTTAGTAAAACACCTGCCTGTACTATTTTTCTCTAGTACATTTTGGTCAATTCTTCCTAATTCTTAATGAGAATTTCAAACAAATTGGCCAGCTGACAGTTTTGCATCACTGAGAACAGGAAAAGCCACATTGACCTTTTAGTCAATTTCTATATGCTGATCAAAGCAGGCCAAAGTGGGCCAATGCTGCTCAAAGCAGACCTGTTACTGTGTGTCCCTACTGAAACAACCCGAAAACATTATTTCTGGCTTCAGCCAGTTAAGACATGGAATCAAACTGGTATGCAATGCAAATGCTTTCCTTTTATGCGAGCACAGAACAGGCTGCAGAGAAGCTGAATGTTTGCACTGATTTGGGCTTGTGATGACAGTTCTCAAAACAGAGAGAAAAAAAAGGATATGTAATAGGTTATGTTTGCAAAGTTGGTGGGTACTCTTGTGTATATTAAACATTTTAATGTGCTTTAAAAGAACGGTTATCCTTCAATGTAAACATTTTGCTGGTAACACAACTCTAAATGTAAAAAGATAACAGTATATATACCCATACCATACCAGTGTGCATTATATATGTATATATAAATATATGTAAATGAGTATACTGAGTTTCAGCATGTGAAAGATTGCCTAAAAGTTGATCACTTCCAGATTTTTGTTGACACCATTGTTACCTTGTAGCAACAAAAGTCCAAGTATCATTTGAACATGCTGGAATCACAAATATTAAACAACTAATGACTAATATCTATGTGCACCTTAGAAAGCATAGCCCTCCACTGGTTTAAAAATCTATAGTTGTGTTAACACATTCCAATCTTTTTATAGATATGTTCAAGGATTGTACAAAGTAATGGTTTCAATATTTTCAGTGTATGGCAAGCAAGCGGCTCATTCACACATATGTATTAGAAAAGCATGCAAAATAAATGCACTTGCAGTATTTATGATGCGTTGGGAAGGATTTCCGTTACCTTAAAGGAATAATGTTTGCTAATGCATGATTTGAAGGAAAATGTACTTTGAAATCTTTATTGAAAACTGCACAACTCAGGCGTGAGAAATATCCACTAAACTGAATGTATTTTAATTTGAGTATACTTTTATGCTATCAGATATACACAGTGCAATAACTGCATGTTGGTGTGAATGAGCCCCACAAATGTACTCGCTAGAAGCATTCTAAGATCTGATTGAATGTTACTTCTGAGGCCTAAAGTTCCTGCTTACCTGCATCGGTGGGCCCATGGAGCAAACCCTTTGCTGAACATTAGTTAGAATAAGACAGAGAGGGCTAAATTTGGATGTGCAGCAGTGGGTATTCAGTATAATAGCAATAAATGTGTGTTATATTTCTAACATTCTCTAACAGTTATCTATATCTTGAAAAGCTCAAGTGCTTGGCACTGAATAAGTGATAATGAATCATAAGGAAAGTATATCACATTCTATCTATCTATCTATATATCTATATGTCCACATCGTAGACTGAGGCTTTGAGTTTTAATATATACTGTGTGTGTATGTATATATATATATATAAAGAACGATACTCAAAGCCTAACGTAAGCATCAGCAAAAGGTAGGACCATACCTCAAGCTATTGGAAAAACAGCAATCATGATAAGACATTCCTTGTTTTACACCCATATGTTTAATGTATAACATGTTGCAGAATCAATACAGAAGAAATCTATCTAATCTCTAAACTTAGAAGGTGATTTCAGGTTTCTAAGCCCTAGTGCAGGAAAAGTCCCCATACAATGCAGTAAGCACAATGATCAAGGCTGAATTGTTTCCAATATCGTACCACATCCTTCATACAACAAGTAAATGTACTATGCCTCCATGTGTACTTAGAAATAAAACTGGTTAGAGCTGAAAACCAAGTAGATTAACAAAATGTCACTTGATCATTAAATGCTTGAAATACAGCTAATGTGAGTACCTGCATATGTCTTGATATCAATCATCATATACCCCCCTGAACAGCAGTTCTCGCATTAAGAACAGGAGGGCAAGCACTCCGAGCCAAAAAGGTGTATTGCAGTGCATATTGTGCATGTATCATAATCTGACAATAAACATGTTGAGAGTGGGGGAAAGCAGAGTGAGTAGAAGGATTACCTCAGCAGTCTGCTGCTGCTGTTTCACTATCCAATTAGCAGGCTAGAGATGTGTCCTTGATAAAGCTGTGCTGCGAATACAGTGTAGGTTTATGACTTGATTGCGCAGTCTTGTAGAGGTGTCTTGATCAAAAAACTGACTACACGGAATTATAAATCCTTTGGCTCCTAAAACAGTACCTAATTATGTAGCTCTGTTTATTTAGTTGCCTGCCTAGAGTTTAGCTTAAGTGAATTGTTGCTAAAAGCTTTTTTTTCTTGTAATGGACAAAATGGGGAAAGCTAGAACCTCTTTTGGGTTTATCACCAGCTCCCTGTTGATAAGATGTGCTTTCAATCATTAAGAGAGAAAACTAGAAACATTTTAAATGTGACTGTTGCTACCAGATCAAGAACAGAGAAGAAATCTCCCAATAGGGATAGGTGGGGGATAGGGCCCAGGTGACAAAATAGCAATTTACCATCACTGTGGGAAAATTCTCCTCTCCCTTCCTGTTATGTCTCCAGAAAAGAAGACACACAATCACTGTGATTTCCATGAGAGGGAGAGCAGGTGCTGAGGTTGCTTAGTGATTTGCGCTCAGCTATGCACTAATCATGATTTAAAAAAATATTATTTAGCAGTCAGATAGCACAGATTCACCCAGCTACCATGTATTACCTAAGGTCAGCTTAAAACATATTAGAGCCCCATTTAAAAAAAAAAAACATTCTTCTAAACCACATCAAAGCTGAGCTCTCATGCTTCTTACAATGTAGGCATTTGTAAAGGGTCCAACAATCTGTGCTATACAACAGGTGGTGGGTTATTTAGCATGGGATTACATCTTTTTGACAAGTAAATAGCATTTACCCTAAAGATATTTTTCTCAGCCAATTAGACTAATTTCTGCTTACATGGATTAACTAATTGTGGCTTCATGAAGCATAATGACAATGTTGTTTACATGTTGCTTTTACTGGGCAACGCCTATCACTCTTAAGCAGTAGATACTAAAAGGCATCAGAATTTAATGCACAAACATGGAGATGAGCATGCAATGAGCAAGACAAAAGTATTGTACAACATTGGGTAAAACTATATAATTCACTAACTACTATTCACAATTGCCATTGGGCAAAGTAGGACAATACTGATGGAACACAAAGGGGTATATTTATTATGTAGTAAATGTGACTTTCATCAAACATTTACTGGTGGTGAAGTCATTAGACATGTGCGATTCGTTTCGTTACGAATCGAAATTCGTACGAATTTTACATCACTGTCTTTTAAAGCAAATGCACCTAGAAGATTCGCATCTAGTGAATGTTTAGTGGAAATTCATCTAAAAGGTTTTTCTAGTTTTGAATAAAATTGGGGAAGAGTTAGTGCTTTTGCATCCCTACTGGAGAGATTTCCCCCTTGCCTCTTGTCCTGGAGACAAAACAGGAAATACAAGGAAATTTCCATGTAGTTGACACTTGAGCAGGTATAGCCACTGGGATATTTCCCCTCCACTCTTGTTCTACTGACATGTGGAACAATATTGATTTCCCTCACATTTTGTTTTAGTCCCCAGGACAGACAATAATAGTGAAATTCCAAGATCTGACATGAAAAAACTTACAGAGGTTCTAAGCTTTTCTTACCCAAAAATGAAAAAGGTCTGACTGGATTTCCAATTTAAATTGTAGTATGGCAATCAGCATTCTGAAGTGTTACTCAAGTTAATAGCTTTAGATGATAAACAATCCCAACCACTTTCACACCATTGCCATTTGGACCATGCTGTGATTCAAGCCCCAAATGTGGTTACACCAATCATATTCTATCTCTTTTAAGTGAGGAAGGAGGAGACAGGGCTAAAGAAACCAACCAGGTGTAGGAGAACTTTGTTCTCAGCAAATCGTATCTTATAAATCAATTAGTGTGAGGGACACTGCTAAAAAACAAACTACCAAAACAAAATATTAATAGTGTGGTAGGGATTTGCCTCTTACACAGTTCCCTACATAACCACCAAATTCCCTTTTGTCTGCTTCAAAAACCTTTTTTCAATGCACTTACTAACACCATTACTTAATTGTTATGCAACTATCATCTAACTTCTTTCATGTCTGCTAATGAGGTCAGAATAAGAGTTTACATAGCTAATTAAACATTTTTTTTTTTTTTGTTCAGAAATCTTTTAGAATATTCTAAAATATTTAGTTGCTGGATAATAGAATATACTCACTAAAGCCTGCATTCTTTATATAACTGTGCATTATTAGCTAATTAATGAATGCAAATGTTTTTCAATTAATTAAACATTCGATTTGGATTAGGATTACACTATGCATGTTCTTTTTGTATTTTGGTTGGTAATATTTTGGGTTTATAGGTCAATTCACAATTACCATTGCACAGATTACTCATTACTGCTGTCTTAAGATTAGCATAAATTGTGAATGTTAATAAGGTATCTATTTTGGAAAGCAAAAAGAGGGAGCCATTTTATTTGTTGATACAATAAAAAAAATATAACACAAGTGGCTTTTAGTGTTTAATTACTTATTTCATGAAAAAAAACGAAAAAACTAAAACAAACACACACCACAGTGAGATTTATGTTTGTGAATTGACCATTTTGAAGAGACCAAAATAACCAAGCTAAAAAAAATCTACATTTTAATAAATTGACCCTTATAAGTTCTCTATGGGAAACAAATATTTAAAATCGTGGAGTACAGAGTATGATGTTCTGGAGAGCCATGGAAGCCAATCAGGACCAAGACAGCAAGTGGGTTGCTTGGGGAAAAACTAATGGAGTGTTAAAAGGGAAGAGCATTGAGGCTGCATATAAAGAGAAACTAGAGTCATTATAGATTTTTTTTTTTTTTTTAAATACCTGGAAAAGTGATGTTCCTTATTATTGAAAAATGTCTAGTTGTGCCTTACTGTACTCTTTTTCTTACTGCAAGTCTATCTGCCAGGTCTAACAGACGATTAACTCACTATGTGGCTAGTATTTTGTCTCAATAGTTTTTGATGGAGGAGGTTGTCATTACAGTAAAACACAAGGAAATATGGTAGAGCAAGCATGTTTATGGTTCTTAAAGTGATTCTATTGCTAGGCTAAGGAAATGGAAAACAGCAAATCCTAAAAAAGAAGAGGCACTATACTAAAATGTCTCAATGCCCATTCCTCCAAACTTTGTTCTCTTCAAAAGCTATGGCCACCTGAGTAATCTTCTCACTTGAGACTTCTAGAAATGTCAGATTTGTACACTCCCCACCACACTGTGTTTCCTTCTGTTGACTTCTGTGTCCTAAGGTGATGTGAGGGCCATTGAAAGAAACCAACGCGTGCACAGAGGGAACAGGCATCTGACACTGCAAGCTGTTGAAGAGGTTGTTGCTCTACAAGAAAGCAAATATTGGAAGAGCCGATGGCAGGATAGGTGACTATTTTTTTGCAGGTCCTGCTTTTTTTTTTTACATTCCGGATTTCAGCAACAGAATCACTAGAAATCAAAAATGGCATTGACAGTAGTAGCTCAAAATATCTGCCCATTGAAAATACACTATAGTTTCTCTTTAGCAGCAACGAAAAAAATTGGGTTGTTGACTAAGGATCTCAAGAAACACACAAACTTATATCCAAAATCTATGCCAGTGCTTTATTGATCCATTGAAACATGGTGCAGTTCACATCATGCATACATGGCTTTCATATATGACCCTGAGGCTGTGTGAAACACACAAAATCAAGGGTGGAACTGCCTCCCTTACATTAAACTGGGTAATAAACGTCTGAGAACTAACTAAACCTCCAAAAAACGTAATGCACAGTTATATTTTACAATTATACTTTTTATTTTTATCAACTGAAAAGGGATCTGGGAAACTGGGTTAATTGATTGGCCAAGAACTTACCCACAAGTCCAGTCAGTGCAAGAACTTAAAATAAAAAAATATATAAATAACTTTGGATGGCAACATTTTAAAATAATTGTTTGCTTTTAATACAAATGAATAATTATTATGAATGGATGGGTATACTTTTACCAAAATGAGGAGGCTTGAAACAGTTATGTAATTTTCAGGAAATCAATAAATGTAATTATTTGTCCATTCTGCAGTATATCGCCCAGTACCATCACATTGTCTAATTCCTACCAATCTGTATGTCCAGAGTGGTGCTTGCCCCCAATGTGGGGAGACAGGACATTATTAACCATGAGCCAATAGAATAAAAAAGCCTGCATCCATATAGTTTAACTGCAGACAAAGAGCAGGGACCACTGGGGAAATACAGGGCAGTAGGATGTAAATTCCATGGTTAGATCCTTTTTTGGGTAAAAGCACACTCATCCTTTAAATATTAACGGAAACTTACCTGCTTGCTGGATTTTTAGCGAGAGCCAGTTTCTGCAAGAAAATAATTATGATCACTCAAGGCTTAGTGACAACATAGACAAAGAATGCTTATTAAAACAATATCACACTATTTAAAAATAAATAAATATATATA